TGATAGTATTACCAGTGTAATTTTTGGGGGCAAGTATAGCTCTTTCACACAACCATTCACTGGACAAATAAACTCAGTAACTGATGGAAATACTTTCATTAGTAGTTCCTCCGATGAATCAACCATGTTGGCAAAGTTTAGAGGAAATGAGATTCTTTGTCGGCTATCAACAGGTATCTGTCCATTTCCGATATTTAATAAATCGGAAAAAAAACAATTCAGCATCGTGTTCGTTGTGAAGAATCTCTCCTATGTTCTGCATCAAATTCTTTTCCTCAACATAACTCCACAAAGCAGACTTTTTAGTGCAGGTACTTATTTCATCTGCGGGTGTTTCTCGAGGAATTACTGGAAGGGTCTGCCTGAAATCTAAAGCCAATAAAACAACCAACCCTCCCATTAAGTCCTAGCGGTTTATGACAGCTTTAAATGCCAAATTGAGAGCTTCTAGTGCACGTTTGTGTGACATGGTGCACTAAGGCCAACAGTTACTAATACCAACACAACTAATACCAACAGTTTGCAGCATCGAAGAACTCCCCCACAATCAGAATGTTTCCTTATATTACAGGCAACAACATCACCAGAATTCAAGTTGAGAGGCAGTTTGAAAGCCGAATGTGCTGTACAACCGCCTTCTAGAAGCATTGACGCAATTAAAGATGATGCAACAGCGAGAGCAATTTGGCCTTTTCTTCTTACGTCCGCCAACAGCAAATTCATTAGAAAAGTCTTACGGGGACCACCTGGTGCATCCAAGCAAACTATGGTTCCTTGTTGCTGGGCGATTCTGTTTGTAACAAATTAGAACACATCAAGTTGTCCCGGTGAATGTTCCGGTAAATTTCCTAAAACATGGTTCTGTAGGTCAGTAGTATTGTATGGCATCTCTTTGAGAACTTCTGTATTGACATTGACCTCTTGTTGAGGTGTGGAAAGGCCAAATGAACTCAAATCTCTACCACACATAGTCGAAACCAGAGATGCAATTGCCAGTAACGCTTCATTTTAAACTACCTCATTATAAAGTGTACCTGGAACTTATCAATGAAAACACACCAATATGTCTTCAGCCATGTCGTCTTTAAGGGTTTCCCAAAGTTGTAGGAGGTTTGATAGCCCACATGTGCTCGCCAGGATCGCATTTATGTCTGATGCGTTGTAGAGAGCAAGTCAGAACAGCATAACGTATTGTGGATTCCCAGCGGTTATCACGATTGAGCAAACCATGGGCCTCACACATGTGTGTATGGCTTCCAACAGCTCTTAAGTGCTTAAAGGAAGTAGAACCACATACACTGTGAAGTAGCAAACGTAAACAGTAGCACTCAAAGTTAACATGATGAACCGTGGTACTCATCCTAGGGCTTCTGAGTATTTTAAATCAGGCTGATTCTCCACCGAAAAGCCAATACCGCGACGCTGGAACTCTTTTCGTGAAGCATTCCAAGTGTAGTAGTGGGGGTACTTCATTGTAAAGAAGGGTCCTAGCAAATTCGTCATTAGTACACAACTCAAAGAATGCAGTAAATATAGTATCTCTTGGGTTTTGTAAAACGTAATACAGGTTATTGTTATTGAAGTAAACCCTCTGGAAGTTCTCAAGGTAAACACTCAGATGAGTAACAGTGGGGTGTCTTTCACTAGAAACCCAAAGATACACCATGCTGCCTCGTTAGAACTCAAGTAACGTCCTGACTGGTAAAGAGTTACCTAATCTCTGGTGCAGCCTCCCTCAGCAGATTGCAATAATTCCCAGCTTAGTTGCTTCCATTGTTTACATAGTTGCATATATATTTTATGCTCTTCAATGAACTACAGTATTCCGCATTAGGAATTGAAAATCTTTGTCAGAACTGGTTTGTATAGTACAATCCAACGGTTGTTAATATGCGCAAATCCTCGTCCTGATACATCGATTTCAGAAGAATGTCCACCGTAATTTGTTGATCACTTTCTGTACAAAGGGTACCCATTATAGCTGGTATACATCTCAATCATCATCTATCTAGGATATATCTTTGTACACTTCCCGTCTCTCTTGAAAGGTGACCAAGTGGTAAGCCCACTATTTGACCAATATCATTAGAACATACTGTTTCATTGTTGGTGTTTCAATCTTAGCACACATATCTACAATAAACTGATTAAACAGTTGTCTGTAGCAAATGATTGGGTTGAAGTTTTTTTTGACAAACCATTATAACGTACACATAAAACTACATTGCAGTAGCAATTTAGAAGTTGGATGTTTGAAAAACTTCTACCCACTCTAAGGAGGCATCAACACAATATCGAACATTTAGAAAAACAACTAATGCATAAAACAATAGCTAAACATAAGTTACAACAAGTGTTTTGTTTATTTAAAAGCACAAACACAGATTCTAATAAAAGAACATATGGATTTATCGATGTTCCAAAAGGAAGTTTGAAGCATGCTAAAAAGCGTTTGCCGCCTTTAGAATTTGAAATCTGCTATAAATTTGAATACACCCATGATGGTGGTACAAACGTCACGAAAGTTCTCAATGACATCCACAAGAAACAGCATGTCTGTTCTGTTATACAGCATGTGTATTCTTTTAAAATTTTGATCTGGAAACTCTCCCACACTCTGCGGGCGTGCTCGTAGTCGCTATCCTCAATGTTGAATTTATTTAGTTTGTTATAAAAGGACTCTTTCGGGGGTAAAGTGGTCTCATCAAACATTTCAATACAGTCCATATAATCGTACAGATACACTCCTTTTTTACACACCAGTTCTAGTTTATCCTCAGTAAAATATTTTCAAGTGTGTCAATTAAACTATCTAGGCTAGAACGCACAAATCTGAATGAATCTAAAAAGCATAAATTTACACCACCAGGGACAGCCACCTCAAAAGATATGTATTTTTCTTCATTATTAGGCACAACAAAAATGTTTTCATGTGATTGGCTGATGGATATTTAACAATATTTTAATATCTAGAGTTCAAAGTAGCATTCCATCTTTGGCCTCCACCGCATCATGTTGTCCTTATCTGAGCTCTCAATCAGAAAGATTTGCACAAACTTCATCCTTTTACCTCATCTAAAAGAATGTGTATACCTTCCATCAACACTAAAGCAGGAAATTTTAAATTATCACAGAGACAATTGTGGCTATGTAACCCTAAACTACTATGAGTCTATTCAAAATCATATTAGGTTGTGTATTGATTGCGGAAAAATGGCCGATTTTCCTTCTTATTTAAAGCAAAGTGGTAACCACATGTATCCAAAGTTTAAAGTTCCAAAAGAAACATGCCACATTTGTCTAGCTCCTTTATTTATCTTTCATAAAGGCAGCTGTAAATACTGTAAATTCTAGATGAACATAAAGACCACAAAAACTAGAAATAAAAGATGGTTGTCTACATCAAAATGTGCAGTTTGCGGCAGCGTGAAACACTCGTTTATAAAGGAGCCATATGAGGTTTTAGAAGCCAAGGAGTTGCACAGGCCGGTTATTAAAAAGTTCATTAAACGCCGAATAGTCACCAAGGGTATCGATGATTTGTGGGCTGCAGATTTACTAATAATGAAGCAGTACACTAGGGAGAACAAGTGGTACAAGTACATTTTAAATGTCATAGATACATTTAGCAAATTCGTTTGGTCCGAACCTTTAAAGAAAAAAGACGGAGCAGAGTTGACAACGGCTTTCGAGAAGATTATAAAAAGAGCAAACAGTGATGGTCATAAAGCACCGAAGCTTTTACATACCGACAAAGGTACAGAGTTTAAAAACAAACCGTTCAACAACATGTTGAGGAGGCACAATATCAAACTATACCATACAGAGAGTGAAGAGAAGTCCGCAATAATTGAAAGATATCATAGGACATTGAATGAGAAACTTAAAGTGAAATTCCAAGTCCGACAATCCCACAAGTGGTACGATATACTACAAGAAGTCACAGATGAGTATAACCAACACGATTATCACCACACTATTAAAATGAGACCAGTAGAGGTCAACAAAGATAACGAGGCTGATCTATTAAAAATGTACATTGAGCGCGAACACAAAATTCGTAAAAACAGCAAGTTCGACCTTGGTGATAGAGTTCGTATCACAACGAAAAAAGACGTGTTTGCGAATAAATATAAACAAAACTGGACTTCGGAGATATTTACAATAGCACGAATTCTAAACACTAGACCGGTTACTTATAGGATCGCCGATCAAAATGGCGAAGAAATTATAGGCGGATTCTATGAAAAGGAACTGCAGAAGACCGCTCTCTGAGTGTCGGACTTTGAGGAGCCCGTTCTAGGACTTTTATCCCGTTCTAGGACTTTTATCCCCTATGAAAAGGAACTGCAGAAGACCGCTCTCTGAGTGTCGGATTTTGAGGAGCCCGTTCTAGGACTTTTATCCCGTTCTAGGACTTTTATCCCCTATGAAAAGGAACTGCAGAAGACCGCTCTCTGAGTGTCGGATTTTGAGGAGCCCGTTCTAGGACTTTATCCCGTTCTAGGACTTTTATCCCGTTCTAGGACTGCTCTCACCCTCACCCTGCGCTCAAACAGACCTTTACATAACTACTAGTACATCGGTCCCGGGTCTAGGTCTTACCATGAGAACTACGGTGTAGCTTATTCCCTACATGGGAAATTCGCTAAAAAGGAAAAAAAATAATTTAATGAAAAAGCCACTGGAATATCTAGCCATTTCAAAGCCATGTTAACACATTTGTAATTAGGCTAAGTGTTTCTGATAAAAAGCCAATTAATCAAATCAAAAGTTCTTGAAAGATAAGATAACAAAATGTATTTTAATTTTAATATATTTGAATATTAATTTTATCTATAGGTAGCTCTAATAGTGTTACAGTCAGCCATTTGATCTAGGACTCTTCATGATGGAGTAAAAGGAATTTTAAATATATTAGAAAGTAGTCGGTTTATTTCCAAGTTTAGTAGATGTATTAGGCCCAAGGTTTATGCATGATGCTAACTTATAATATTTACCTTTTTTAAGATCCTTTTCTCGCTTGAAGACCTTGCTAGTCTCTTCAACAAGCAGCTCATCACCATAAATGCAAATTTCTCTGACCGATGCTCCAACAACACATTTCCCCAATACTTGCTTCAAAACACCTATAAAACAGAAAATAATTACCGTACAGAAATTACCATGTTATACATAAATTTACACTACTAAATACAGGTAACACCGTTTTATCTGCAAACCATTAGGTCAAGAAGGTTTGGTATCGGTGAACGGGTGGTGTTTTTGGCCCCTGGGGACATCAAAACGAAAAAAGCCACACAAGCTCTAGGTCTTACTTGAGACCTAGTAATATGGGAAATTTGCTAAAACATAGATACCGTACGGTTGGTCTAATGAAATTCACTTGCTGTAAAGCATAAGAATCAAAATTCTTCTATTTTGATACCAAAAAACATAAAACTTTATACCAAGCATACATTATTAAAATATCATTTTAGATCAATACTATACCGGGTGTCTCGGTCCCTAGTATTAATCTGATTGATTTTTAAAACTCCCTAGTTTTAAAAATACCTTAAGATCGTATTAGTTTAAATAGATGAGTAATAATCCTTTGGTGCTGTAGAGTAAACTTATAAGTTTTCGGTTCGTACGATGGCAACAAGGTTAATGTGTGGTGCGGCCTAATGAACGACCAAACTGTTGGACCTTTTATTTTTGCAGAGAAGAATATAGCTGGTGATATCTACTGCGACAAGCCAGAACTCTGCGTGTTTCCAGGCGGAAAAAGGACTGGTCATATTCCAACAAGACGGTGCGCCGCCCCATTACAAACAATGTGTGCGTTCAGCCTTAGATGCCCGTTTACATTAGCAGTAGTAGCATCGGCCACGCCTGTTATGTTAACTAATACCTGGAGAGAGATTGAATATCACTTGGATATCTGCAGAGCTACAAATGGTTCGCTTATTGAGGTGTTCTAGCGTTAAACATTTTTTATTTCATTACCTTTTATTTAATGTTTTAGTCATTGTAATTTGTATATTGTAGGCTACAATAAATAAAAAATGTCAAAACTAGGGAGTTCTTTTTTGGACACCCGGTAAATAACATCCTAAGCCATTTCTATTTCAATCCATATGTGAAACTCAGTTCTCACATTTTGTTGGAACAATGAATACAAACTTTATGAGAAGCTAAATCCTTACAGAGAATAGTCAGACTTATTATTAACATAGGAATTGCGCTTCTAATAAGGTCTGTATTCATTGGTTGGAATCCTGGAGAAAGGCTTCTGTAATTTTATCTCTTAGTTCGTTACCTGAGATGTTTTTTTATTCTTCTGGTAGACTAGTGTTTCCCAACCTATTTAAAATGGCAAACATGTTTTACATACAGCCAGTGTCGGATATATAGTACTTGCGGCCCCAGGCCAAACTACTTGAGCCCACCCTGTGGTGGATATTTTCTGTGATAGTGGTGAAATCTTGAAAATCTCTCACGATCAAGGGGACATCATCATCGTCACCTGCGATCACGGATGACATCTCGCCTAAATAAAGGCAACGTCATCATATACGCCTGCGACCGCACTAGAAATCCTTCCCAGGAACCTTTCCTGCGGACCTCAATCACGGGAAAATCGTCGTTGTTACCCACAATCAAGGATAAATCGTGAAGACTTACCCTAATCAAGGGAATACCGTCACCGATACCCACGACTGCAACAAAATCGTGTGACACATCTCCCGTGGATAGCAATCACGGGGACATCGTCATTGAGATTCGCGACTATGACAAAATCAGGGACATCTCCCACAAACCCGTAATCACAAGTACATCATCACTGATACCCGTGACTGAGGCGAAATCGTGAACATCTCCCGCAGGTCGCAATCACAGGGACATCATTGTTGTCACCTACAATCGCGACAAACTGATGGTTAAAAAAAATATTTGTTCTGAAAAAATGTTTTTTATTTTCTGCGGCCCTCTCTTTCCTTGCCGCCTAATCAGCCTAGTGGTAAATCCAGCACTGGATTGATTTTGAACACTAAAGTAGACATGCTTATATATGGACCAACTATATCAATTTGCTTTGAACAGTTTATACAGTAGTTGAATGAGTTTTGTACAGCCTAAGATCCTATTTTCTTTCTTAGTTTTGTTACTAGTTTCTGTTATATAAAATATCATCTAGTTTTCAATAAGTTGTCTTTTCATAATGTGCATTTATTTGACAGGTAGTTATTTCAGCACACTCTGTCCCTGGCTAAATTCAACTATGCTTATTTTTATATTTTTTTAAACTGACAGTCAAAAATACTGCTTTGTCACGTAGATGTTTAGGGGTGGAGTATGTGTATTAGGCCTATTTATATTTTGCAATCTAACTAGACCTAACTCAGTTACAACCATTAGTAGGCCTATGTACCTTTCTCTAGATTATTGTATTTTCACGATTGATGAATACCTTATGTCAATACCTCTATTAAATCACTGGTACTGGGCTTTAGAGTTATTTACTAAATGATTTAATTGTCATTCGAACCTATTCTTGACTGTACACAGTGGCTGATGAGCCGACAAACTGGCACAAACAATCCTGACGTATAATACTTTTACTTAAAACTTCACCACATACCATCACAGTGGCCTCTGTGTACCACTAGTGGTACGCGGACCACAGGTTGGGAACAACTGCGGTAGACAATGTCCTTTATTTGGTGATGTTGGAAAATGGGTAGTGACCATCATTAGTAATGGTAGATGGTATCCTTTATGTTTTTGGTAACCCTAGTGAGGGTAGGTACATTCTTTGGCTTCTTAAGTTACCGTATTAAATAGTTTTAACTTATAGGCTAATATTCAATTGCTTTACACTTTGTATGTTAGAAAAAAATTTTAATTGATGATGAATGAACATTTGGGTCACATCATTCACTAATTTAAATGGTTTCTTGATGGTCCAGCCTTTTACTAAACCAGCCGCCCGTTTGAGAAGGATCATCATAGTACTGCTATAAATATTAGATTCACTTATATTTACACCATAGGCCTACTTATTGTGATTAATATCTGGTAGTTACATATACGTTAATAATTAAGTGTCCAGTTGTCCTTGGTCATATTCCATGCTTATAAGTGTAAAAACATGCATACAGCTTAGGGTAGCTTAGCGCAGCACATGTTTTAAATCAAAACCATGCATTGAAATGAGGTATGACATAGCAGTAGCGTATTTTGGCGTAGCGTAGCACAGCGCAGCGTACAACTGAGGAACAAACTATTTTGTTTTTATCAGAGCTTTCAAAGAGCGCATTCGCCTGCAGACACGCTTAAAGTTAATTCGAATCATCCTTCACCAAACTAAATATGTAATCGAACATTGTAGTCGACATTCTCGTGTGATCCAAAAACCGAGACTCGTGTTTCCTAAGGATTGGAAATAAGAGGTGATGATCACCACGTTTGTCCCTGCCTTTAAACACTACATGCACCCCGATACTTCTCCTACTGATCAAAATCTGCCACCTAAGGTATTTTCGACAAGACTTATACGAGCCGTTTTCAACAGAGCCATCCTCTATACTGATGTACCTTATTAAGACCGTCTACAACCTATGCGCTACACTACGCTGCGCTCTCTGTGTCTGTTGGACTACGCTGTGCTCGGCTACGCTACACTGCACTGTCTGTATGTTTATACACTTAAAACATGTTGTCTGTTCTTCAAGACTTTTGAAGGAGACAACTAGTAGGCAAAGCTTAAATGGTTTGTTTGGCTTAAGTTTTCACCATGTAACTTTTAAGTACTGAAATAGCCTATTACGATTATGAAAATGATGTATTGGCTGACAAAACCTAAGCTAATTTAATTTAGGCCTAGTTAAGTTTGTGTTAGGTTGGACATGCATACTATTGATAAAAAGTAGGGGTGAGTAAAGCTTTGCTATCAGCCCAAAAGTGGGGAATCCTCTTTTTTGGAATGAGCTAGGTATTTTGATTTAAATATCTTAGGTAGGCCTATTCACATAAACAACTAACAAAATGCTTCCTTCGTGTGCCATGTCGTGGACCTCTTATCCTTCACGTTCTTTCAATCATGTTATGTCACAAAATCTATCAAGTGATTCGATTGTTTAGTGCGCAAAATCCTCCAATCTTCGTTTCAGCAGACTGCCTCTTATCCGGACTCCTTGGGGACCGAGGCCAGTCCGGATACCGGTAGGCCTAACAGTTTTTCCAGTTAAACCGACATCAACAAAAAATTTGTTAAAATGGACGGTTTAAATGCAAACTGTATACAGTATTTGACTTAAATTTATGTGCGTATTGTATCTAGACACGTGATAACTGGTCTCAAATCTTTTCCACAAGAATAGACCTTTCAGTACCGCCCACTTCCTGCCGATCTAGTCCGGTCAAACCGATGTGCTGATAAAAATTGTCCAAATAAAGAGATGTCACTTATACTGAGTGTAGTCCGGATAAACCGATGTCCGGTTAAAAGTTTTCCGGATAAGAGGAAATCTACTGTATGCACATTCCAACAATCACTAACTATTTTACCTCAGTTCAAAACGTGTTGTTTAATAACAGACAAAATGAATTTAATATGCTAACTGGCACCAGGCTCCAGGCTTGGTATTCATTGAAATTAGTCTAAACGCGCACACATACAACTATAGCCTCGCCTTGTCTTAGTCGGCTACTCATGGGAACTGTCACATGTATTTGCTCTCTTGATTAATTGTTGAGCAAAGTTCGTTTGGAAAAAGTCAATTTTTAAGTACAAGTGTGCATGTTGAGGAAGTTGATCCATAACTTGATGAAGTTCAAAAGAGGCCGCCTGTATATTTAAAGGCGTCAAAATACTATTCGGATATTAATTTGAAGAAAAAAGTTGTATGAAGAGGTATCCTTGGCACTTACAAAGATTGGAACAATCTAACCCTTTTATTTTTTCGCATGCAAAACTTCAATAACAGAGTACATACTATTGTTGTATCAGTGAAATCCATAATGTAATATCCGACTTGTGTCTTAAAACAGTTGCCTGTGTGCACTCCTGCGCAACTGTCGCTAGACTTTAGAGTCCCGAGTGAGTTGCGCAACAGTCCCCCTATTAATTGGACAACTGTTG